CAAGTTATCCTTCAATAAGTAAAACAATGTATTTGATTGATATGTCTTTCAGTTTTTGTAAATCATATTTGTTCGGAGACCTGCCAATTCTCAAAAGATAGCTGAGTCATTAGTGTAAAGCAGTGAAACAGATCATAGGTCTACAATTTTTTCCTGTCAAGGGCCACAGAATAAGTATTTTAGGCTTTGTGGGCCAAATGGGTTCTGTTGCAAATAGTCAACTCTGAAATTGTAGCACAAAAGCAGCTATGGCAATATATAAACGGATGAGCATGACTTTATGTCAATAAAACTTATTTACAAAAACAGGTGGCAGGCTAGATTTCTCCCATGGGTCATAGTTTGCCAACCCCTGAAATACATAAGGAGGAGAAGGAAGGACAGGGAGAGGGACAGAAAGATGACGTAGGAAAGAAAATCTAAAGTATTTATGGAGTATTACTCCTGAGGAAAAGTATCTACTTAGTGGGGTCGAAATTATTTGTTCTATTGACTATCTTTGATAGTGAGGCCCTAGAAAATAGAACGAGTTATTTTTACGACTTGTTTCAATGCTGTCTGACCTATTAGCGTTCAGTACATCAGCATAAATAATGAAAATATTGATCTTCAGTAAGTACATAGGATTGGACTTACCTTAGTAATGGATGGAATATGACGGTAATATTTCTGGCTCCAGGTTTGCAGACAAATTTGGTTCCTCCACCTTCAATTAAGTTGTCATCAGGACCCCCTTATGGAAAAAAAAGAAAAAAATGGAGACATTTAGTTTATTAGAACTATTACAAAGAAATAAACTGAGCATCTGGATAAACGTTATACTGGCATAAGTAGGACCACCTTTGAATGAAACTGCCTTCAATATCTACAAAACTATTTTGAATGACTTGACCTAACCTTCCTCATTTAATAAACTATGAACTAGCATTCTAACCCAGGCGCAAAAAGATGGAAGCACAGTAAGAATACAGAGTATATTCACAGAAAGAGTGCAAAGGTATACCTCAGTTAAGGTTAGATTTTAGATCTCTCATCACCAGTGTCTATTTTGGACAGCATGGCATGTGAAACTTTCAGGGGAAGGAAGACGTGTCATTCAAAGTTGCTCAGGGCTGTAAGTTGGAGTAGACGCTCATATAAACCTACTGATCATATTTCACCAAAGCTAAGACCCCACTAAATAGAAGCTACACTACTGTTTAATGTGACACTAAGGGNCCGGAAGAGCGCAATGATGGTGCCAACTTGGGCCAGTGAAGCAACGTCCTCCACAACTAGACTGAAGAACAGAAACGACAACAACTTGTCTGTTCACCTTCCCCCAATTCCCCAGTGCTGTTCCCATCCTCCAATTCCCCAATAAAAATCTTTAAAAACATAAATAAATAAATAATTTCCTGATTTCTTAGCCAAAAAGAAAAAATACTAAGGAAAAGCATTAAATATACATATCGAGGGGCCAGCAGAATTAATGGGTAGTGAACAAACTAGAAGTCAGTATATTTGCTTCCCAAACCCTGGGAGATTTCCTAGTGATGAGACGGCAGTAGTTACGAGAAGAGCACAAAAATAAGCTTGCCAGGCTGCTAGATCTGAGGAGCTTGTACAATAAGTTTATGGGAAGAGAGCATGAATGACTGCTGGGAATACACAAAACAGCATAATGGGTATTTGTTGTGCAGTGTTCTCAGCAGGTGGTTCAGGGTTTTCAATAGGGAAAACCTTTGGGCTGCAAAGAATGCACTGCACATTGAATAAAAATTATGGGGAGAACATTTTTAACAGGTGAAATGTGTGCAAGCCATAGTCACTGTTTCTGGAAGACATGCTGCATGTGTCACTGGATGCAGATGAGCAGCGAAGGAAAACGAAGGCCCTACGCACTTGGAAAGGGTTCTTTCATGAAAAAGGTTTGAGAGTTCGCGAAGAGAGATTAAGAAAATAGTGACATAATGTGCGAACAGTGTTGGCTTGTGATAAAAGTCTGCTTGTGGCAAGTTCCTTCTGAACTCACTTTTTGACTACAATGTGAGTTACAAAGAAAAAATAATGATTATAAGCAATTAGGAAAGGAGTTTGGAAAAGCGGGATGGGAGAACAATGTGAAACGTTCCATACAAGTAGACACACATTTGGAGGAGAAGAACTGGGTGACAGGATGTGTGATGGCTCAATAATGTCAAACTGGTTCCAAGACAAACTGTACTGGTTTATACGCTGTATATACTTTTATATGCTCTTATATACTCTTATATACTATAAGAGCCCANAGTAGTCCTAAAAACAGGGCTTCCTGGGTGTCCCAAATCCAGGAGACGAAGTCTTAGAAAACAGCTTTTCTTGACAGCCATTATACGAGGCTCTCTTGAAGCCTTTAGAGTTGCTAAACTTTCAGATCTAGTACCCAAAGCTTCTTGCAAATCTAAATCTAATGTCCTACTTTTTGAAGGTTTGCCTTGATGACCCTGTGTACAAGCTCCCTACTCACAGGCCCCAGCATGCACCCCAAAAACCACACACCCCCATTCGCATGTCTGTTCACTGTTCCTTGACCATATCCATCTTCTTCCTGTACATTTCCCATTTCCTCTGCCAGGTCATTCTCCCCCAGATATCCACATGGCTTCCTCTCTCCCTTCACTTTCAAGTGTAATCAAATGTTCTCAGAAACGCCTTCCCAGTTCACCTTCTCTAAAAATGCTGCCCACCACCATCAGTGCTACCAGTCATTATCAAATTCCTAAACTTCTTTGTTGTTCTTCGTAAACACTTCACAAAACCCGATACTGTGTCCCATGGGTATCAGTTGACTGTTTGTTGTCTGACTTTTCCACTAGACTAAATTCCACATGGACAGACTTGTTAGTCGCTAGACGGAAAGAGCTGGCACAAACTAAGGGCTCGATACATTTTGTTAAATGCATGAGGCAATGGATTTTTATTATGCTTAATTAGAACCGTGAATCTTGTACACCTTTGATCTGCCAGCACTGTCAACATGTGAAATTGTAAGTGCAATGATTAATAAAACAAAACTATAACATAAAAAAACGTTAAGCGCCACGGTCGTTTCCTCTGGACTATCGGTTTTAGAAACATCACCTATGTTATTGGCAGACTCAACAATGGAGTCTCTCCTTCCTCCAGTTTTGGTGTCAGCCACTTCCTGGCCCCGTCATTTCAAGCACTTCCTGACAATCGCAGGCACTTCGAAGCTATTCCGCGAGCGGCCCACCAGTCACTTTGAAACAGCACCCCGCATGCTACTAACTGGCAGTTTCTACATCTGACAAGATTCACTTTTAGAAGATATTCTTTTCTGTCATCAGAGACAAATATGATGAGATGATATGGTTACCATTGNATAATAAGAAAATCTCCATCTAAAATGTCAGCTTAAATGAAGGTCAAAATCACAGCAGCCGTCATGATGATTTTAGGTTTATTTGGAAATAGACTTTTAGTTCCATATTAGCTTTTACAGAAAAAAAAAAAAGCTAGCTTTCTTTCTGCCTTAAAAGTCACTGAAAGAGTTAACTTATACTTACTATGTACCAGTTACTGGCACAGAAAAAGACAAAAAAAAGAAAGAAAGAAAAAAAAAGAATACAAAAGCAAGAGCAGAGAAGGAAAAAGAGGATAGAAGGAATTCCATAGTAGGGGTGGGGTGGAGTCCCTCTAACACTGCTCTAAGGACAGCCAGGACATGATTTTCCCACTTACTCCTGTGCTGGAAAGAATGTCAAAGCTGAAGTGACCTGGAAGTCAGCCCCAACTCCTTAATCCTGCCGATGGTCACCACCAGCATTAAACCAAAGCATAAAAAAGTCACCTGAGTGAGCAATGGGAGAAACCTATCTATCCAGAGCTGTGAATCTGCACCGTATATTAGAAAGACTTACAGTCATAGATTGAAAGAATGCAGGCCTGACAATTCAGCACCTAGTTCACTGCATCTTGACTTCAACTTCTGATTAAGCATCTCCAAGGATGATACTCTCTCCCCAGGGAAGCTTTCCTATTTGGGGGGTCGCTTTGTTCATTTACAAATCCTCATTATGTGGAGTTGAATCTCTTTAATGTCCAATAAATAGTTCTAATCCAGATTTACGGAACAACAACAAAACAAAACTGCTTTATCTCTTTTAAGTGAGACATTCATATATTTGAAAATAGATATCCAATCTTCTGTTTCTCACTAACATTTTTGGTTCTTCCTACTGTTTCTCATAAGGAAGGGCTGTGGGTTTCTGCTAACTAGGTTGGCACTTCTCACCTCTTTTGACACTTGTTGAGATGTGCATGGATGGATATGTGGTTTGGAGCCTTGAGTGGCTCTCTATTTCACTGGATAATAAATTGCCAGTTAGGTGCAATCAGTGTTCAGCCATATATCACACATCATATTTTGAAAACACAAAAGTAAAAGTCTAGAAAAAAAAGTTGTTGGTTTTTTCTAGGAGATTTTCACTAACATTTTAATCTCCAAAAGTTAAGTCAGTTTCAAGATTAAAAGCATTGAACATTTGTAATATAAATTCAAAAGCAGTTACTCAAATGTGGGGTTTGAAATCTAAATATATATACCACCACTCAAGTGCTTCATAGGCCTTCACAGGTCAGAGAGCCTGAAAACAGCATTATTTTTCATAATTTTAAGGACAGGGAAAAAAAAAACCGTTGTGCTTCATAAAAATGCAACAGGGTAGCCACATTTCTTCCCATGCATGAATAATGTATGATCTACAATGTTATTTTCCAGACTATCTAATCACCAGCATCTTTCAAAATGTCTATATAAGCTTTAGCTCATTAAGAACATGTATTGGTATAAAAATATAACATACCTGTGAACACTCAAAATAATATTCCTCCAAATACCAATGCACACATCAAACTGACAGAGTGGGACAACTTTTGTGCATTTCTCAAAGATAAAGATATTGGGAAAAGAAATAAAGAATAATTATTTCAGCTTGTGACANTGTGAAAAAATATGTACCTTAGGATGTTGGGAGAAATGCCTCCCCCACCCCCACGCCTCACGTTTCTTTGCACTAACATGAAGCTCAATCCATGTAACCCCTGATCTCTCTCCATCTTGTGCCCACTGCAGAGGAAGTGAAGTATCTCCTTTGGTAAAATTAAGGAAAAGCTGGGCATGCGTGCTTCAGAAAACCCTTTTATTCCACCTTAGAAACCAGAATGCCTGCAGATATTAAGTGTTGTCTTGCTAAGCTTAGCAATAAAGGTCCTGCCTTGTCAGGGAAGGTCGAGGTGGCCCAGTACCTTCTGTGAGTGGGTGAGTACATTTGTTTAATTTGGATGTTCATTTAACAAACTCACCTGGCTCTGAAACTAGGCTACATCGTTCAGTCTAGCTTATATCAATATAAAAGTGGCATTTCACCTTCCATGTACCTTTACTTGTGTTATTTCTTGATAGTTTCAGAACTCTGACAGGAAAGATACAGGCCATAACAATGGGCTTCCTCAAAGCCTTAACAATCTACACTTAGGCTATTTCATTTCTTTTTTCTAAATGAAACATTTTCTTTCTAATTATAGTTCTTCGCATGATACCAAACACAAGTAAACCTCACCTGATTTACTATTGATCTTAATGGTCTCTGGGGCATCTTGGAAATTGACTGACAAAAACATGTGAAGCTTCAGAAATCCAACGCCCAGATCATCGCGACTTCCCAGGGAAACGGAGTCGAGACAAATCCC